TCTGGTAGTTATAATAGTGCTTTGTGTGTCCGAAGTTTTGGCACCTATGACATTGCGTTAATTGTTTTTTCGGGAGAGGTTCCTCGAATTTGACTACTGAGTGGCAAATTAGGTTTATTTTGAATATGTCGTTATTATTTGATTTGGGTTCGAGATCTACGAAGAAGAGAGGAAGCGGTTTTTTTGTTTGATTCTGCAGAACGGTTGTAACTTGCTTAACTTTGAAACCATGCTTTGACAATTCGTCTTTAATAAAGTCAAGGGGAGTAGACTGATGTAAATTACGGAGTACTACTCTGAATGCTTTTTCGTCTTTGATATGGTAGGTGTGGAAATTGACCTCTTTTGATTTTAGTAATTGGACAGCTTTTCTGAAGGTATCAGCTGTATTTAATTGTAGTTTGATTCCTGATGTGTTACTCTTGCAAGTAAAATCATCAGTGTCGCAATAAAGTTTAATTGCAGTGCAAAATTTAAGAAAATCGGCATCGGATTTTATAAAAATAGGTGGTGGTTTGTGGATTATAGGTTCGGTTGGTTCGGTCGTTTCCATATTATGATCATCTTCGATGTCGAGATTAGCGTATCGATTCGGTGTTGTGAAAAAGCTTCCTATGATTGGGTGTTTATTTAATGGAGATAGTCCAGGTGATCTAGTTGAAGAACTTTTATTATTTTTAGGTGTAGCAATTATCATGTCTGTATCAGAAAGTGTGTTTTCGGTTATCGAAGGATTGAGATTAGAGTTTGTTTGATTGCGTTTGGTTATAATGATTGGCGTAATGAGCTCATTAGTGGTTTTAGATAACGGCCGAGCCGGCGATGTCGGCGGTGACTGAGTTTTTTTTAACATTTTGTTGTTGGGAGTTTGTTATTAGTGAATAATAACTTACCCAGATCCCGAAGGATCGAGAGACTGTAGACGTTCTTGAAAATAGTTTTAACAAAAAGAGATGTGTTTTAAACGAAAATGAAACAATGAGAAAAAGAAAGTCGGGTGAAAGATTATTAGTGTGTAGCATGAACAAGGCAAGATAACGCATGAGGCACGATAACGCAGTATACGTGCTTCACTGTCGACTGCCACACGGCAACTGAATCTTATGTACTTGAAAAAATAATAATCATAGATGCGTATTATAAAATAATAATTAAAAACTTTATTAACAAAATTTTATTTTATTGCATACAATAAAAACTAGACAAATGTGCAAAATATTTAGTAGTTGAAAAAAAGGTTTCAGTTTATTAGTAAATTAATTTAACCGATTCTTTGTTTTTATCCTTCCAGATTAGGACTATTTAGAATTATATAAATAATTACGATTATCATTTGGTCCTAAATTGCAATAAACAATATAATATGTTACAAGTAAAATATTGCTCATTTTTATACTTTAATTAATAAATTAAAAATTAAGGTAATCTTTTAAATATTTGAAGTACTTAGGCCTAAGAGGGATGGCTTCAGTGCCTATAGCTCCTCCCTCTTGTATTCGCGCCTGGATGTACGATAACCCTGTAAAACCTTCCTCATTACATAGATACTTGTTGTTTTCAAGACTAGATGTACAAATATTAGAAAGTCAGGGTTGAGTCGGAATAATAATAGATTTTCACTCAACTTTCGTTAATTTTATTTTTAACAACTTATTCGTATCAATGCCGTACAATGTCCGTTCGAATAGACGATGAGAGCGATCCAATCAAATCTAGATTAATTACGCCTGCGTTCGATAACGTTATTCAATTGTATCGACTACCACTGATACTTTTATACGAGCACATGGTTTAACCGTTAACTCGAATCTGTCGACAGAAAAATTTATTTGAAATTATCGGTTTGAAGTTTTTCGCAAATTTCCATTCACTCGTCCACAACCGAGCAGTGTGGATTATTATTTGCTTCACAAATTATTTATATGATAATATATGATAATAATTATCAGTAATAACAACAATAATAATATGCAACGAAGCACATCTGGCGGCCGACACGCATGCAATAATATTACGCACAAATCCTTTAAGTAATTCGACGTACGATGTGTTGGATCTAAGTCTCAGTAGGCCGGGGTGCGAATACCAATTAGAGATCCTGGAAAAAAAAAGTTCACTTTACGAATACGTATTTGTAATTATTACACAGTGATTAATACATATTACAGTTACACTTAAACAGGGTGCCTCGTTGTTTTATACAAGTGCAAAGGGTGATTCCCCGTGTTCTGCTGTTGCCTCCAACATGTTGTTAACACGGGTACGCCCACGCCACACCAGACGGCATTGCCACCGGGTGCTTTTGCAATCCGTCTGTCATCGTGTGATGCCCATGTTATCGATAATGTTGTGATATCCATGATATCGATCATTGGAATGCTCTGCACGTTTTTATTGTCATACACGTCGTCGCCGTCTTTTTGATTAATGTTTTTTGTTATTATTGCTTTTTTTGTTGTTTTTCAAAAAAACTTATATTCTACTGCTCGTAACGCACATATTGTTATAATATTTGTCCTATGACCCAAGCCGTCATGGACACGTAACGTTATATTTCTTATTTTCTTGTTTGTTCTTACAAATTTTTGGACAGTAAGGTTTAAATCTTAAATGCCCCCCCCCCCCCAATGCTTAAATCATGTAATTTAATATATTAAATCTATATATATATATTGTAATAAAATAATTATACTCATCCCTTCCTGGATACTATCAATTGTTTCCCTACCGTATCATCCGGTATCGAAGTATCAAGCACGGTATACTAAGGCCTCCTAATCTAAAATAATTTAGGTTATTGGCCACACATACTGATTTTCATATTGGCAGTTGACATTGCAATTTTTTTAGTTTTTATTTTTCAATCGTGTTCTGTGTTAGAGGGGCACATTTGTATACCATTCTACTGTAATATACATTTGTAATGAAAACAACTGAAAAGTTTTTTTTTATAGTGATTAAGGGATGAAAATAAAAATTTTATTAGTTGTTATGTTATATATGTGTCCTCCTACCACAAAATACATTTGAAAAATAATACATAGAAAAATGTCGATATTAACTGCCGATATAAAATTGATAAAACACGGTGAGACACCCTGAATATTTATTTAATATGTATTGATGTATTAAAATAACTAAAATAAAAACAAAATTTAAGTACCTTATTTACTAGATAAATTAAAAATAAATCAAAAATTAGGAAACATCTCTTAATATCTCAAGTTTTGAAAGAAGTAGTATTACAAATTATAGCTCTTCCGGAGGTATTCATTTTTTTTTTTTTTTTACTTAAATGGAATATAAATCTAAAAAGGTTTTGACTCAAAAAAAAAAAAGTTTGGGAAATAATGGGGTATCTATATTATCATATCGTTTACATATTTTTTGAGTAAAAATATTTATAACATTATTTAAATCGATAATATTCCAGTGATCAGCTAGTTAATTAAATGAAAAAATAATTATGTAGTATAAATTACAACACATTAATGTTAAGCAAGTAACAACATTTTGACTAATTATCGATAAACTGTCAAAACATGTATATTTTCTAGGAAAAAGTAAAATGTTGATCAAGAATACAAAAGAATTGAAGTCTTATAACTCACTTAACACAAACTTACGAAGAATGAGTAATTCAGAATATATATTTGAAAAGGTAACTTTAGAATGCGAAACACGAAAGCGGAATCTTACACATATATGTATATCGTACCCGCGTAACCGTCGGTTAGTTATTTAATATGTAATAGTAATTATGATACTGATAAAAAATACTTAACTATAATACAATCAATATTTATTATTAAAAGTGAGTACATACTGAATAAAAATGTATATTTTCATAACTTCATTTAAAATTACCAGTGTATGACATCGATTTTTTCAGTTAATTTAAAAAATAATCAGTTGGATCTAATTTAAAAATCAAGCTCATAAGTTGTTTATAATCACGTTAAAATGGTGAGTTATTACAACAAAAATTCAAAAGTGTAAAAGTTTTTTATATGTACTAACCTAACTTGACGCTAATTAAAAAATAAATTAACAATTTTTAATTAAGCTTAGTTTATATTTTTCTTAACGTTTATTTTAAATTCAAAAAGTCGAATAAATTAGTGGTTTAGCTAATTTAATAAATATAATTTATTACTCTCCCCCCCCCATTTGCGTTAAAAAGTTTTATTTATATTTTATTAATTTTTAATTGTTATTGAAAATTTGCTTATTGAAAAATATACGTGGTATTTTTATTTATTTAGACATTATTGAATACAATATGTCTGTATGAACCCAATACTTTACAGCAATGTAACAAATTTTTAATAAAAATGTATACGATTGAAAGGAATAGAAACGAACAAAGCCTGTTTGGTTAAAAAAAATTAATTGGGGTATCAATAATATATTGTTGTTGGCAGGATAAGATATTTAATGATACATAAATTAGCTAAGATCATAAGAAAAGTGTTGGCTCTTGTCGGACATAATGGAGTACAAAAGAAAATATGGGAAATATCATGAGAGCCGAGGAGTTATTATGGTTGCTCACTGGGGAATATTTCAGGGGTAGATCAAAGGGATGTGGAAAAAGTTGTGCAAGGTCGAATTGGAGATGAAAGAAGAAAGGAATGACACTCATTCTGTGAAGCCAAGGGTGAAGCAATGTAAGTTTGGAAAGCTTCCGCTGTTACAAATATGATCAGAGTGAATAGAAGGTTTTCTGAACGGTTTAACCATAAATGTTTTAAAACTGAAATTAGATCAGACCAATGGATTGATAAGCTTAGTAAAATAATTATTTGATCCAATTAACTATCCAACTATCCACGCAGATATTTTTATTTACAAATCACACGGCTAACTTTTTCGATAACACTATAGTGAACAAAACTTGTTCACTAAAGTGTTATCGGTTGTAAGGTATATACAATTAAAAACAATTTAAAAATAAGGCTTATTAATTTAGGCGTCATTTATTATGGTATTAAATATTATTTTATATTTTATTAGAAATCGTTCACAACAATAATATCGTCACTCATGTCATACTTAATTAAAGCTGTATTTTGTATACATAATATTAATAATATTAATAATATTAATTAAATAATTATAAATAAAAACAATAAGTAAAATAATTTAAAATTGCTTAAAAATATCATATATATCAATTGCATACTATGGACCTGTAGAAATCTAACTATCACAATTTTTACGATCCATTAATTTGTGTTTAGTTGGTTTTTACTGTTTTGGGTGCATTTTTGTAAGTTTTTTTGTAAAACAACGAGAATAAGTATAGGAAAAGCGCCACATTTGCCACATTGTAATAAATGTAAACTTTCGGGAACTGACAATTGAATAAGACTAGACCAATGAACCAGATAAGGATGACTACGAATTGAATCTGTAAATGAAGTTGAAAGTACATGATATAAGTGCGTTAGAAGTATGCCTGTAAATGTATTTCATTAATACTCACTATTTGCATTCTTGTTAAATACTTCTTCCACCATAGATATGGTTGCATATGCGGTCCAAGGGCAGCTAGGAAATAATAGAAGTACATGATTACATGGATAAATGAATTGATCGATCCAGGCAATGCCGCTTGTTCACCTAAAAACATGAAAAAAAGATAATTTTAATTAAGGTTTTATACCCTATGAGAATTAAAAATATAATTTCACAGTTTCATAATTTTTTTTTTTTTTTTTTTTTTTACCAGAAATTAATTTTTCTGGAATTATTCTCAATTTATTGTATAATCACATTGTATAAAAGTTTGCGTTTTATTCAAATGTTGTACTTATAATTATGCATACGTTATGTTACTAGTGCATTTTGTATTAAAATGTATACCAATCTACGTATGATTTCCTGCATGTATGTACCTATAAATTATTATTTTTGTTTTGATGTTCTGCTTATTTCTCTCTCTCTCGAAAAAAACGTTAAATAAAGGATTTATAATTATGATTCATAATATTTCACTATTGTGATGCAAAATTTAATTTAGTTTTATTATAAATATCTATCAAATAAATTAATTTTATAAAAATATACAATTATGAACTTTCGTATGAAGACCTTATCTCCTTTAATACTCGTACGATAGCTGTGAATATGCTTCAGTTTTTTAGTTTTGCTTATTTTCTTATCCGAAACTTATGTATTGATTCTTATTTAATAATTACTTAACGATACTATCGATAATACCTTTGATAAATCTCAAGTAGGCCCAACATGTGATGACCATGTTTGAATGGTGGTAGACATGTAAAAACGTAACTTGGCATTGTTTTTTCCTTAAGACGAAGAAAATCTAAAATAAAACAAATGATTTAATTCAAATTAAGAATTTATGTTTCAACAACGGTTTTTGTTAAGTTTATATTTCTAAAATGATATATATGTATTTGAACATTATGTATTTTTAAAGTATTGAGAATGATCTTTTACTGGTTTTTATTTCAATAAAAAAAAATTTATAGTAGTTTCAATACGAAGCTTTCGTCTCCCATCATTAGCCTTAACGCCTTAATATTGGATTCTGTAAAAATCAAGAAATACTTCGGTTTTTACAAAGATTTATTTTTTTGTGAAAACTTTTTTGGTAAGTAAAAATGGTTTAAATTTTTTCATGTTACGACTTTTGAGAAAGAAACTATGACAAAAATGTATTCTTAAGCTTAATAGAAGACTTTATTTAATTTTCACTGTAAACTTACTGAAAAATAAAAGAATAATATAGGAAAAAAAGTCAGTCATTCATTTAAAAATAACAAGCATTTTTCTATATTGGTATAAATAAAACTTGTTGTATTGTATTTAAACATTTGAAATTTGCTTATAGTATTTTATTCATTATATCATAATTTTATTTAACATACCTAAATTTTCAAAAATTTTAAAAAACATATCCATAAATATCAATATACGGTTAATAATTTTTATTCTATTACCTTTAACCTCCATTGATAAGACTAGAATCAGAAATATTGAAAAAATAATTTATATTTAATAAAGAAATAAATATGGTAAATATGATATCTATGTGTATTACATTATTATTATAGGTAACATTAAGCGTTGTCTTTGTAAAGCTTTGGTTTCCTATAAAAGCTGTGCCATAATTTAGCGGCCGTAATATTTCGTCACCATAATATGACAGTATGAAGGCCGTCTCAAAGATGTGGTTTCCTATAAAAAAACGTTTTCTGATGTTTAACAGCATATTCAAATCTCGTCTCAGTCTGCGAATGTTTCAAATGGTGTGACGTACAGTGGTGTACCACGGATGATTTAGATACGATATTATAAATATATTTGGAAGATGAAGAGTCGTCGGAAGATGAAAACTACCGTTCGGGACAAAGTGTGATGTTTAACTATTACCCGGTAACTATTTAACCACAGAAGGTGCATTTCAAGTTTTAGCCATTTACAATGTAAAGATGAAAAATTGATAATGTATCAAATCACATGAGAATTGACTTAATTTTTAAACCAAACAACCGACACAAAGATTCCATATTTCCAGAACAAGTGTTAAGTATACTTTTAAGGTAAGTACTCCAACACCTGAATTAAAAATGACTTAACGCACGTAACATTTCATGATACTAAACAATCGAATAAGAAACTAGACTTAACATATTTAATGATATCAAAATATAAAATTTCAGTACCTCGGTCAATTAAATGTTATATATTTTTTATTATTATTTGAGCTTCGTGACTTTTTACAAAATCGAACAATATTTGTTCATTTTCATTGGTCCAAGTTACGTTTGAAAACATTGCTTTTGATTACATATTGACCAATATAGGTACCGTACGTCATGCAATTGCAGTGGTGTATTTACGGGGAGGGGGGGGGGGGGTTCCCGGGTCTCGACCCCCCCAGAAAAAAATTTAAAAAGTCAAAAAAACTTGGTACGTAGGTACCGAGAAAGAGAATATTAATTTTATATTATGGGTTTTTACTTTGATTTAACTTATGGTTATTTTTGTCGCGTCGTTTGATATTGAAATTAAAATTCCGAGATTAACAAAAAAACAAACTAATAGATACAATAAACCATTAAATACTCCGGAACAATATTATCGAGGATCAATTTTTATTCCTTATCTTGACAAATGTATTACAGAGTTAGAAGAAAGGTTCAATGTTCATCGATCGATTTTATCAGGTTTCGATTCTCTATTTAGGGAAAATGGTCCCATCGAAGATATTATAATTCTTTCAAATAAATATATTGAAGATTTGCAGAATGATGGATCTCAAAATCAAATTATTGAAGCAGAATACAAATTATGGCAGAGAAAACTCATACAAACAACAGAGAAACCAAATAATGCTCTAGAGGCTATGGCTATGTGTAACCAGTCAATTTATCCAAACATATATAAACTTCTTCAAATCTTAGTCACGCTACCTATTTCCTCTGCAACAAATGAAAGAACATTTTCAAATTTAAAAAGAATAAAAACGTATCTAAGGAATTCCATGTCAGAGGTAAATTATTATAAACTTAAAAAAATATTCTTGTTATTTACAAATTAAAATTAAACACTTTGTTTATTTTTTTGTTTATAGGGAAGATTGAACGGTTTAGCGATGTTATCAATAAATAAAAACTACTCAATAAAACCGGAAGAAGTTATTGAAGAACTGGCGAGGAAAAAAAGACGTTTACCTTTTTTATTATAAAAAACTATTAATTTGTATTAATAAATCATAATAGTAGTGAAATATACATAATTTAATATAAATAATATAGTTATTACATATTTACATCATAACTCGTATGTGTTTTTTTTATATTATAAACTTATAGGTACTTAATATTTAGACCCCCCCCCCCACAAAAAATTTGAAAATATGCCACTGTGCAATTGGCTACACCGCTATTTAACGTTCCGGTTTTTCTCGATGTTAGTTAGGAAACCATCAACAACTGGTTTTTATTGTTTTAATATTTTTTACCGTTAAATTACTGCATCCCTTCGTTGGAAATCAAAGCTTTACCGTATATAATTATGATATTTGTAATATTATTTTCATGAAGTAATAAATGTTATAAAATAAACCTTACCGTGTCCAATAAATCGATGACTTTGGACATGAAAAAATACCAGGAAGCATTATTTAACTGTAAAATAAAAATAAAAAAATATTTAAGTATAATTTTATATTTATAAACTAAATAGTATAGAACAATAAATTAAAGATAACGCAACGCAATACAAATAAAATAGAATATTATAATCTACAGAAACTTACTATGTATGGTAATTACTAATTTCATGACCAAAATTAAATTTTTTCTTGTTACATATATACGAATAAAATTATCTAATTCAAAACTCCATATGTATTTTAATACTTTTTTACATTACATGAATATGCAAATATTATAAATATTGTTAAAACTCAAATGATTTTGCTTTTATGCAGTAGAGGGTTATAAAAAAATAATATCTTAATATATCATAAGATATTTTAGAACAATTATAGAAAATAAAAAAATAAAAATTTAACTAATATGCTTAATGTGTTATATATATTTTTAAATCGAATTATAGTTATACTGATTGTATTAATGTTTTAACTGTACTTAAATCCATATTTAAGCATAATGACAAGATCTTTTCAGAAAAAATCTTATATTTTATACATTAAACATATTTAATAATCACTTGAAACATCTTAACGACAAATAAGTATTATGATATTTTTTTTAGTAATGTTTTATTTCTTACCTCGTATAGTAAATAGCTGTTTTTACTTCTTTCAATAGGATGACAAGAATGATTCCACAAATAGATTAACGCCCCAGGCGTAAAAAAAAGCTAAAACCACAAAAAATGAAGCATAAATAATATAATATTCTATGTCACTTAACATTGGAAAAACAATTCACTTGGTCATTTTTACGTTAATGTCTGTGGTAAGTTTGTGTGATTTCGTACATACTTTTAACCTAGCGATTCGGGAAGTAAATATTATGTCTTAGATCGATGTCTTACAATTGCTTTTTAAGTATCTATATGTATACGTTTCGAAAGTGTGGTAAAATCATTCAGTACCTTACATTTATATGAGAGAATCAGCACGAACTTCAAGTAGTTGCCTTAAAACTATGTAGCTTCTTAATTCACATTCTAATTGGATTTACCAATGTATGGACCAAGAATGAACAATGTTAGGACGGTGCGCTCGGTATCCGAATTGTTTTCTTATCGACCTATCTGTAATATTTAATGTGAATTATGTATATGTGTGTGTGTGTGAGTGGTAACTTCATAAAAGTTAATAGGATCGTCGAATAAGTCTAGTGAGAGCTAATGTGTAGTAAGTGTAGGAATGGGCACTTTTCCGGGAAAGTAAAATAATGAAAATGTCCGGGAAAAGTTTCCAAGAATATACCCCATGACAGAAAAGTACAAGAAATGTTTGTTTAGATAAAATGCTCTTTTAATATTGATAATATATGACGTTTAAAAATAGTAAAAACTCAAATTCTATATTAATATAAAGTTGAAAAGTATTTTACTTTTATGTTATTTGTAACCACATAAATTAAATAATTAGAAAAAAATTGATAATAATAACTAGGGCTAGGATTTTAATAAACCAAAAAAACTAAAAAATTACCTTAAAATAACCAAAAAATGACAAAAAATGACATAAAAAATGTCCTTAAAATAGCCTAAAAATTACTTTAAAAAATGTCCAAAAGATAAAAAAAATGATTTTAAAATATTATAAATTTATAACTATTAATTATTAATTAATATTTCGGTACAAAATTATTTAAATTATAATATTATGAAAAAATAACAAAAAAAAAAAAATGTAGAATACTACAGTTTGATGTTTCGACTTATCATGCAATGGCCTCTTGAAATTTTCTGAAATAAACAACAAAAAATACATCTAGTGTTAATGAAAATGTATAAAAATATTACCTAGATTTCAGAGAAGTTTAAAAAATGACCCTAAATCCATTAAAATACAAAAAATTCAAAAAGAATCAAAATAAAAACTACATATTTGGACTTGTATTTGACCAAATCACATTTTGTGTATGAAAAGCTGTCCTCTAAATCCTAAAAAAAAAAATGCAAAATAATCCTATATTCTCCTAGCCCTAATAATTACCCACATAAAATTATTTAACTTCTCGTTAAACTGGATAATTTCTCAAACATAAATTAAAAACATAATACTATTAATACCAAATATTTTAATACTGTATTTTTAAAACCTTTTCAAGTACAAATTTAGTTATATTAGTAATGAGATATTAATAATACACCAAAATAATTCAAAATAAAACCATTTGATATTTCACATATAAAAATTACAACCGTAATATTGAGGAAAATTAGAAAAGTAATCTAAAAGAAAATTCCCGGGAAAATAACTTTTCTCAAGAAAATTTACCGGGAACATTTCTAATAGGACATCTCTAGGTGAGTGTGTATGTGTGTTTTTATATGTTTGCTTATAATTTAATAATTTATTAGATAAAGAGATGGATAATTAATATTATAATTATGTATGTATTATTAATGCATTTGTGTATAATATACATATATATACAAAATTATGACCCGATTGGCCCAATACGTAAAAATAATAAAGTGGTAAAATGATAATCATATGGTAACAAAGTTGTTCAACTACGATAAAATACTAAATTAAAACATAAAATTCAAATAATTCACAGCAACACAACCTATAGACGGATAAATTATTAGTTTGCCGACGTACTTAGGAAATCAACAATAACAGTAAAAATAATAACTCACGTAATAATGGCGTGCTGATCATAAGTGTTTCCTAAATATCTAAATAATAATAATATGCACACGTACTTGGCCCTACATATAAATACGATTAAAAAACTTTAAATTGTGCTGATTGACACACGTACAGTGCAAAACATAATATTTATGACGATTAGCTTACACAAAACATAATTACTGATAAAAGCCAACTATTCGAGCTGCTAAATAAAATGACTACATCCAAGTTGGGTCCCGAATTAAAAATTTGCTATACTAGTTGGATCCGGGAATATTCTGGTACTACATTAGTTGGGTCCCTAATAGTTTTTTACAGTTTATTATTTTAGTTTTCTTGCCATTAAAAATATAAATTATTAGAATCTTAGGTAATAATGGCAATAATACGCAGATACTATACCATAAAATAATATTAAAAATTTTATAAATCAAATTTAAAAATTCATATTGTTCCTATAATCGAAATAGAAATAAAAATAAAATATTGTTTAAAAAAATCACATTGGTGTTGGTAACAATTTGTAATACATTAGTTTTACAAAATCAAATCGATTCATTTTTTCTGCAATTTTTTTCATTAATTTTGTTATTTATACATTTTTCTTTTAGTAAAAAGCAGTTTATTTTTTCATAATTTCTGAGCTTTTCATTTTGATATATGTGTTGATTTGTATGTTTTTTAAAGGAAATGATTCGAAGGAATTTGTGATTCTCATTGTTGATGCATGATATTCTAACCAAATATCGAATGAAAGAAGACATCAGACTGCCATCTTGTGTTTTCTTGTATAGGTTATTCAACACCGACATATTTCATACAAGAAAATACCAAAATAATAGTAGCTAAAATAGCTAATACCAGATTACGGGAATTTTTAATATTTTTCGTTTGGATTATTTATTTACTTAAAATACTCTGTTACTTAATTACAATTATCCCGGACCCAATTAGTGTAGAACCCGAAAATATCTTGGACCCAAATGGTGTAGTACCTGAAAAAATCACGGACCTAACTAATGTTGTACCTACTATTAGATCCTATTACTTGGAACCCAACTCGTATGCACCGAATAATTAATTATTAGAGCTTGTATAGTAATTAAAAATAATCAAAATTATTTTAATTTCACTATGCAAATAATAACGATAGGAAGAGTTGTGATTAGCGAATACGAAAAAAAAACAGTAAAACGCGATTTGTGCTTTCTTAATATAATAAAGAGGTATTAACCTACGCGGTAGTATAATTTAAAATTATAGCCAGATAACAATAATAAAAACTGATTATTAGAGTTAAAAAGAAATTAATTGACCAAAACGGGCGCCGTTGTGAGTGGAAGAGGCGGAACGCGACGTGAGAGTGTCACTTTATGAATATATTTAATAATAGTATGTAATAAAGATAGAATCACGAATAAAATTAACATAATGTACAATAATTGATAATAATATGTGTGTGCGTGTGATGATAGATCGGCCGGTGATTACCATAAATTTGGTCTAATAACGGTGACAACGGCGTATTGGCGTATTGTGTTAATGACCTTGACAATCAACAGACAGTTAATTTTCTTGTTTTAATTTACATTGTAACGTATAAAATAACAAAGAACACTTATTTATATATCATAAACCATATTATTTAATAATATATAATAGAAATTTGCACTTGGAAATTGAGAATTATATAATTGAAAATTATATGATTGAATTTAAAATAAAATATTATCATCTACCTATTAATTTGAATTTTTATTTTGAATTTGTTTTTTTATATATTTTTTTATGCAAGTTGTATCTTATAATTAAAATACTGTTACAATTATCTATATTTATTATCAAATAAAAAAAATTAAAAAGTATTTTTTTTGAGTAATCAAATATTTATAAATAATAAATCATTTTAAATTATAATTAACTATGTATAATTAAGTAAAAAAGATTTGAAATATTTATACATAACTTGTCAATAGAACTTAATCTAAAATACCACAAAAGTCATGTTACCAGAAATTTTATAAGGAATACTTCAAAAAAATATAGTTTTTCAATTTTTAAGATTTACTGACGTCGCTTTAATTTTGCACCAATAAATACATCAACAAAATGGTAACCTGCACAATGTTTGAAGTTTATCACATCCACTATGTTGACAATATTCTGTTCTAAGAACGTAGTAGTAAAGGACAATAAATATTTGTCCTCAGTTTCTTACCGATTTTTTTTTTATGTATTATTAATATAAATTATATAAGGTATTATTATTGGTAATAATTTATATTATACACACAATTTGTGTTAAGTTACAATCCAGACAAAACCTAACACATATATACGTAATTCAATTTTTAATAGTCTATAATTTAATAAACTGAATATAATAAATCCTGTTGAATCTAAAAATACAAAATAAATATCACATTAATTGTGAATTTATGACGTCGTATCATGTATGTCTATGATTTTGGATTTTCTGCGTTTATTTAAAATGTTATCAAATGCGAATGAATAAAATTAAATAACTCACAATAGAGAGTGTTATATTTTGACACAACAAATATTTTGCTCTCATAGATAATTCAAGTTTATTGGTGATGCTTATAAACAGAGATTTCATGAATTTATGATCATTGTATTAATATAATAATTAAACAATGTTTTTCATTTTTTAAATATATATATACTATTTGGTTATTTATTTTTATCATTTCATGATATAAAATAAACTAGAAGTGTACTTTAAACTTTTAAAGTTGTAGCCCTTAAGATGCACTCGTTATCGATGCTTATCGATGTATTTAATGGTGAAAAAATGATCTATGCACTTATTGAACTATTGTTCATGATGATTTCGATTTTTCGAACTGAATTACCGATTTACAAAGTAAAAATAGTGAATCCCAATGAAATAAACTAAAAGTTTTAATAACGCGTGTTCGAGTTTAATTGGAATGTTTCTAAGTTGGTAATACAGAAAGTATTAAGTAAGTTATAATTTTGTATACCTTAGAAACCCGAATTTTTCCGAAAGTTTTCAAATATAATATACATTTATTTTAATTAAATTTAACTTAGCTTACATAATAAAAAAACATTGTAACCTGTTTGAAAAAGATTGTAAAATAGCATTATTTGTTTGAGTTTATATGGAGGGCGTTTTTCCATCATATTTGGACCGATTTTCAAGACGAACACTAAATAAGCTCCTATGATACTAAACACTGGTAATGCAGAGTTCATCAAAAACCACGAATCGACTTCATTGTCTGTGAACCAAACAGTTTATTTATATATAATTTTTTTTTTTTTGATAATGAAAACGTTGTTTAATTCTTATTGCTGATTCATTTAAATTAAATTGTATATGATACATAAATTATTTATATCAATATACTAACCGAATACCAGTTCCTTGTCCAGTAAGTTTAAAAATTGATCTTTCATTTCTGTAATGAAATGAGGATCGGTAACGTTCGCCATGATTGTTGAACCTGTTGAATAACAAAAGTGATAAATGTTGTATTAGAAAATGGAGAAAAAACAGTAAAACACTATCATGTTCACACTACGCCTTTGAAAAATCGTTACACATTGATCGACTGCACGTACAGTTTAAAAATGGAAGTCTTATAATACCTACCTTGAATGCATGCAGTGTTTATTAGTTCAATGCCGTTTATGAGTACATCATCCGCAGAAAACAATTTATCAAAAACTGGTTGACGATAAAAGCAATGTCAATTGCAAACCTATCCATCAAAAACTGGTTTTAAAAGTGAGGTCGACTCGAGTCATTTACGCTCTTGTTTATATATAGAAATATTATTTTTTAAATAAAAATAGAACTGGTCGCCTGAAAAACATTATTTTACTAAAATTTTACTTGACGTCACACTATTTGCGTGTATTTTCATGGATGGGTCCTACAAATAATGTTATATTTTCATATTTTACATAAATTTAATTGATTATTAATGATTGCACATTCACAGCTGGATTCAAGAATGTATAGGCTGTGAGAAGCCCGGATCAGGAAAATTTTGGGCCCGGGGCAAACAATTGTAGGGGCCTATATCAATAAGTAATAACAAAATAGGTAGGTTTTATAATCAAAAAACAATTTAATAGCTATATCTTAAATACCTAGAGTTAATATTTAAATCGTCGCAGATTCGTAATCGTAATTGACGGTATTCACTGTACTTAGGTGTTTATATGAATTTCTCCTAACCATTATCATCCTGTTAAAAGTAGACAATATTGTCGATATTATGATAGCATAATAATAACATATTATCCATTATTGATATAGTATAGCCTATAGGAAACGTTAATTTATTTAATCTAAATATTTCTGATTTAATAAAAAAAATAAAATTGTATTATCCGCCAGGGATCTATTATTGTTTGATATCTGTTATGGACTAAGGCCCATGGCCCCCTCTGCCTCCTTAATCCGAGCTTTGTTCTTAGTAAATTATCTTCAAATTCAACATGCATCTTTTATGTTAGAAACACAAGTTAAAATTTACAGAAACACAATATTTTATCCAAAAGTGTGGTTTAAATAATTTAACTGTTTAAAAATAATATACAAGAAATAAAATAATATAATTTAAAATCAAAAATAATTAATTATATTCAATTATATTGGTTTAATATATTCATTCAAGTTGTGTTTATAATTTGTATTGCAAATTAAAATGTTAAAAATTTTAGTTTAGAATGAAAAAAAAATCCTATAACATAGGTGCTCTGTTTTTATTAGAGAACCCTAACCTCCCTCTAATCTGATCTGGTTCTAATAATCATAAATATGAACGAAACATTTATGCTATATTTTAGGATTAAGTAATTAAGATATTAAAAGCACTCTGTTCTGTATATAAAAATTAAAAAAAATGTAATTTTTAAAATGTTTAACAAGTAACTGTTTAATTTAAAGATATAAATAAAACAACATTTTTATACAACATATTAACAAGGAAGCAATAATTTTTTATATCCAATATACAAATATGATTTTATAATTGAAATAATTAAAATAATATATTTTATAATATTTTAAAATATTTTAGTGTGCTTATCAAACAATAAAATAACGAAGAATACGTATATTTTTAAAAATTATAATTGTTTTAAGGTTTGAAAATGGATGTATGATTTATGAAAGGAATGGTGAAGCGATCGCTAGATAATTTATATCCTTTATAAGAAATTTTAAAAGGGTAATGCCTCTGATTTAATAAATAATAAGTTTGTATTAAAATCTTAAGTGTTTAAATATTTCTTACACGAATACAATACTTTTTGTGTTATACAATTCAAAGTTGTTTGCATAGTACGATTTAAACAATAATATTCATTTTTAAAATGTTCGATTATTGAAATCAACAACCTTAAGTTTAAAATATGCTTCATAGCTTATACAAGCCTTATAGCAATACACATTGTATGCAAATTAACTAAAAATATTGGAATAAATATTAATGATATTATAGCAAATAATTATATATATGCCATATTAACTATTAATCAGTTAACAACAGACATGTATTGTAAATGAAGTAAAACCTTTTTTCATGGACGGGACACTTTTTACCCAAAAATGACACTTCCATTTTCGCCTATACATAATAAAGTAGTTTTGCCTGTTTGTCCAAAAATGTTGTATTCCATTTCATCTATGTTTTACAATAAATATTTTGGAACGACTTAAATACTTGTATTTTAAAATTAGTTTTAATTATAACTTTATCCCAATATATTCTATAGTCTCGTGATTTAATATCAAAGATGTAATTCAAAAATAAATTTATTTTCATGAATAATATGCATTATGAGAACATATTCTTTAGGCACAAAAGTCTAAGTACTATAAAAACAAAATAATCCAACAATACACAACAAAAAAATTTAACAAATAAAATCTTATGATATTTTTGTTTTATAATGTATTGTTACTTCTTAATACTTGAAATGAATTGCATAAATATTTCCTATCTGAATAATAATTATTTTATTAGCAAAGATATAAGTTCTTTTCTTGAAGATTTTAAAAATGTTGCTTTATCATTTTTGACTATTTATAATATTAAAAAAGCACAGTTATATTTCAGAGAACAATAAAAGTTGTTTCATCGTGGTGTTATTTATGAGCATTATTTTTTTTTAAATAATAGTTTTTAAGTTCCTAATTATTTTCTAAAATGTTAATCACAGGGGAATGAAAAGAATACATGTTTTTTATAGGGGGTCAGAAGACTTTATTTTGTAAAAAATTAGATAAAAAGAGAAATGACACTACCATCGGATGAAACGTGCAATTGCGTCGTTTTCACTGCTAAAGTAATTTTTTTCAGATGATATGAGTAGTTTATTTCAACTAGGTACTGTATATTTTAATTTTACGGTTAGTAGTTATAATATTTGTTTCACGGAAGATACCTATCAATAATTATAACGACTTAATCAGATAAAAGGGTATTTTAGAAAAAATTAAAATCTCATAATTTAAATATAAATAATTTGATTGGATCATTGATCCCATAATACTACTATCTGAATTACTCGGCTTCATACAGAACAGTATTAGCTTGGACATAGTTTTTAACGGATTATTACTTTACACTACCCTAAGCCTAGTTTAATGTAACTGTTGGTTATAAAACAAACAAAACAAAATTTCAAATAAATCGATATGGTAGTTTTGGTTGTACGGTGATATACTAGTCTTTATCGGTGCCAATATTTTTTAAAATCCCTTCTTATTGCACGTCTAGACTCTAGACTCTATAGTATTGGAGCGACATACTTAGACCACTATGTCAAATTTCAAGTTCATACTTTTGTTAGTTTTTGTGATGTAGTATGATTAATGAATGAGTGGTATTTGCACTTTTAATTATTTAATTAATTTAATTTCTGATAAATAATATTAAGCCGAACTGAACTTCTCGTGTTACATTAATTAATTTGACTTTTTAATTGTGTGTGTGTGCTGTGCCTAGTCGGTAATTTATGCTTATATTATAATATCTCCATTCTTAGCTAAATTGATCATGAAAAATAATAGGAAGTCGTTTTTGATAAAAAAAAAAAAAAACCCTTTGAGCTTAATATTTTATAATTGCTCACACGAATAGGATATTATGATTACCATTAAACACACTATATTTTTCTGTTGGTTCATCGTAAGGACATTTTAGGAATAAAATAGCAATTTTAATTTTATATTTTAATAATTGCACCTAGGTACTAATAATATTCAAAATATAATCCCATGGAAATCGAAATAGAAATATTAAATGTCGTTGTCTAAAAATGTGAATAGTAAAAAGATTTTATGTATTACTATTTTTTTTTTTTTTTATTTGAATCGTGGTATGATCTGGCCAGAAATATATACAGTTGAACCTTGTACAACAATTTTTATAATTCAATCATTTTTTCATGGAAACATGTAATTTTCATTAATACACTAATTTTATTTTGTTGTTCCGAAACTGAAAGTGTAAATTATTTATGGAATCAATGGTCGTAATAATCTTAGGTAAAAAATACATTATCACATACCTGTACCTAAATATAATTATTTATAATTTTTACAATTGTGAAATGTTAATATTATTATTGTTATGCGATTTATTATTGCATTATATTATATATATATATATATATATATACTTAGTGTACATATATTGCACGCTGTTTTAATTTTGAGAATTTCAAGTGGAAAAAAAAATAATAATAATATAAAATGTACTTCTATTTGACAAAATTTTTTAGAAGAATTATCTCTATAAGGGGTCATATGTTTTTTGGGGTTGTCGAGGGAATGAAAAATTTGAAAAACACCGACGACAATTCAAAGTATAGTTATCGTTTTACTTACTCGGACTTGGCGGCGACGACTTGTCCGTTGACGTCTACGACTATATGGCCATCCGACCACGTGAAATTGTTTTCGACACGGTGACGTGTGCAGCGGATGCAACGATGTACGCAGGATGACAGTAACCACGGTTCGTCAGGAACTGGACGCCATCGTTAAGATCTGTTCGGGAAGTCACAGTGCAGGTTTTCGGGGCTCGAGGTGAACGAGTGACAACGGCTGGCTGCGAAACGTGTCCACTACTGTCTCGAACCGTCCAAAAGTTTCGACGGAAAAAGATGAAGAAATGGACTAGTGATGGTAGTGGTGGCGGCGGCGATGGGTATATCACACAACCGGTCCCACCACGATGCTTATGAGTACAATGGCCGCCTAGCGCGAGCAAAGGAAGGGCAGCAGTCAGAGGTTTGATCCTCCCCCAAAATTTCAGAAAATATGAATAATATGAATAAAAATAATCTGGCATACAAATTTAATAGTTATTTCAAAGTTTTGAAGACTTGCAAATAAAGTCTATGACTATATTGTAAAATATTTAATGGTGTTTGTTCTGCTTATAATCAATTAGAAATTTTTGATTTTCATAAACTCCAAATACTTTTTTTTTTTGTCGCGAAAGTTAAACATTAAAAGTAAGAAATGTATTTATTTTATCATATTTTCAATCTTTCATTTAAAATTCCTTTTTTTAAAGCATGGTACATTGATTTTAAGTTTAAAAGTAGTACATTCACCAATTCTTCACCTGACTTTGGTGTCTTACTCGATCTAGGAGAGTTTTGGTCTTATTATTTTTGCAACGACTTAGAATAATCTACCTAAGCAAAAACTAAATGATTTTTTAATTATTTTATACAAACTCTAGATGTTCATATGAAAAAACGTGATTGGTTTCTGGAAATATTTCATGGTAACTTACCTAATTTTACTAGGTATTCAAATTCATACTTTAATTTTCCGATGGTTGAAGTTTATAAACGGTAATTTAGGTAAATATTTTTTTCAATCAATCTCAACTAACAAATTTACAAACTTACAAATAAAAGTAGATGTGAATAAAAAGTATTTTTTTATTTTATGGAATTCGTACAATCTAATAATATAATTTATCAATTAATTTATGATGTAACTAAAAAATTATTTATGTTAGTCATATTTTTATAAATTTATAAATTTACAAATATTTCAACGTTACTTTAGAATTTTGAGGCCTATTATACAGGATTGCACAAGTTTATGATATTTATTAATTCAGTTAAGTGAAGTTTATTGAGTTTGTGTTAAATTAAGTTAAATATTAAGTTGACTCACATGAGAATTACATAAATTAAGTTAAAGTTAAAAAAATATTGTTAACATAACTGAACTTCAATTAATGAGTAGTTAATTACAAAAAAAAAAAAAAATGATTTACATAAAGCGCTTATATAAGTAATATATATATCACTTATATCAACAATTAACAGCACATATTAATTAATATTTATGATAATGAAAATGCATAAAAATCTTATTGAAGAATATTTTCTATTTCACACTAATTAAAATAAAAAAATATACATTTCTTTATAGGAAATATTTTTAAGCACAAGTCAGATTAATTATTTTTTAAAAAGTATTTTTCTGGTCTTGAAAATCAAATTTAACGTAATTAGGATAAATGAAAAAATAATACGTTAATTTCATGTTAATCTGAAAGGAAATGAGTTGAGTAATAAGTTAATTTATAGAGTAATAAAATAAGTTAAGTTAATAAGTTAAATTAACCTAATTTTTAACTTATTAACTCGTTAATGCACAAGCTTGCTATTATAACAAATTTAAAAAACTTTATAAAATATATAAATCTATTATTCAAGTAATTATAAGTAGTAGAATTTATATTTCTTAGCAAATATATAAATACTAATACCTGGGAAAATACATTAAAATCATTGATAGTATCTGTAAATATATTTTTTAAGAATTTATGTAGCCTATTAATTAAAGAGGTATTTAATTTAAACATTATATTGGTTTAAAGATAATAAAGGTATTATTGTATATGATTATTATTTACAAAAATATAAATAAATTATTATATATACCTATAGATAAACTCTATTTTATAGAATTAAAATATTTTAATAGCTCACAATTATTATTCTATATCTGAAAATAAACCTTTCAAAAATTTACATTTTGACTAAATAATAATTATAGAACACTTTAAGAAAATACTTCCAACAAGAGGGCATGTTTAAAGTACCCATAATTTATTGTACAATAAATATCAAGTTCCCAATTTTTTAAAAAGAGACACCTTTTGAACTAGGTAGGTACCTACATAGAAAAATCATTTTTCTATTGATAAAAACTATAAATTACTTTTTAAAAAATATTTTTTTTACATCTCATAATGTATTAATAATATTAAATATAAATTTTATAAATTTTATAAAGAGACGAAGAAAAAACATAGAGCTGGGAATATTTTATGGTAGTTCGGACACATTAGAAGTTACCAGAAACAGAAGACTACGGTGGGCTGGCCATGCTAGGAGGAGCCAAAATCAATTATTACATGTAGTGATTGAACAAAATCCTGTAGGTAAAAGGCTTCTGGGAAGACCAAGAATGCGGTGGGAAGATATTATAAAAAAGGATGTTGAACAGCTAGGTGGTATTTCCGATAGGAGAAATCTAGCATTGGATATAGAAGGATAGAAGATTGTTTGTGAGACGTGATGGTCTTAAAGGTCCAATTAAATCTCAAAAAAAAAAAAAAAAAAATTGTATAAAGATAATACGATAAATAAAATCATACGATTATTATTTTATGTTACCATAAAGAAATAAGAACGTAATTATTCCACAGAAAACAGGGAATTAATTGATTTTATAAAAGTGTGTGAGGTATTTTTCGCAAGTAATGCAAAATGCAAAATAAGTTTCATATAGCTTTCAATCAATCAATCGAAAATTGAATACTTAAAAATGTCACTTCCAACAGGTCATTTTTTAGGAATGTCAAGATATTTTTCAAAAGATTGCCGAATAAAATGAAAAACAAGGGGATGTCTAAAATAACGCCGGAAAAGCATTCATATTAAAATAAATGTTGATCATATTTGAAAGAAAAAATAAATGTTATGTCGAAAAACTGATTTTCTAATTTTAAATTTTAGGTTCAATAATTTTGTTTGGCAGCTGATTTTATTATATTGTGATTAATGGGTAGTTTAACATTTGAATAATCATTACCATAATTTATCTTAATCTAAATATACTTTTAAAATCAAACCAGCTGTAATAACAAAACTTATCATTAATTAATTAAAAAGTCAAAAAAACAATGAGAACAATTTTAAATCAATTTTATAATAAAATATACAAATTACTTACATTCATACACACACACACATATAGGGTTTTAAAATTTCATGAAATATTTCAATGTAAAAAAAAAAGTTAATAAAAATATTGTATCTAAAATTTTATAGTTTCATTAACTTGCAAGTGAACATTTTTACAAGCTTAATTGTATGAAATTGTAAATGTATGAAACATAGAAAATATTAACATATTTGCATATAATGTAGAAGTTATTTTACAAATTTAAGATATAATAAATCGAGTACTCTGAAGATATCTAGTTCTATAAAGAACATGTTATTTTTATTATTTCCAGTCGTATTTTTAACGAATGCGACAATATAAAATATTGAACGACTTTTTTTTTGTCTATTGAAATTGTTGAAAATAGTCGTATATTATAATTGGGTTTTTGATTTTAATATTTTTTTTAGACCTTTTTTTTAATATACACCAGGAGAATTTGAGATAACAAGAAACAAGTAATAGCCCGTCCATATAAGAAATAAATGGTGGGAAATCAATGTAGAAATATTTTCTGTGTATAATCAATATATTATTTCTAATCATCTATAATCGAACACGTTAAATGAATAAAAAATATTTTTTTATATTTCAATGAAATATTTCAAGAAGAGTGATATTTTTAATTTTGAAATATTTTAAATTCAGGACCCTATATATATTGCTTGGACTTATGTGTATATTGTATAAAGTGTATTAATTTGCAATTTATATACTTCATAATTAATTTTCTTCTACTTCTAAGTATTTTTCTAATATACATCAAATAGTAAATATTTTGTAACAGACACTTCGACAGTTTAGTAGACACCTATTCTAAAAAATTTAATGTAAGACGTGTACGGATAAAAAAACATTTATTAACAGGCAAGGATAAAGGAAATATAACTACATAATATCTTACTGTGCAATTTTCGACGGTTAAAGTTTATTAAATATATATATATATATTGCCTAATATCTCAGTGATATAAACATTTTAATTATTATTTTCGGTCTTACAGTTTAACCTTGCCTGTCTTTGAACTTTTTGATCCACTCAATAGTACTATACATTGTTGAGTTCTCGTATAATACAATTATTTATGAGGTATTTACATAAATTATTATTATTATTATTTTTTTAATTTGTCTTAAAAATGATTACATATACATTAACAACCTTAACGAGGTTGACTTGCATATTTCGTACGACAAACGTTTCGTTTTTCTTATTTCTCTTTTAAAGTATAGAACAATGATACATTTTTTAAATTATAAATTCATCGAATTTAATTGTATAATTCAGTTGATACAAAGAATTGTATTATACCGTAAAGCTAGTTTTACGATTTGTACCCAGTAAGCAATTCAATAGTTCACGAAAACTCTGCATTTCTCCAGAGCATCTTTATACTTCGGCATTCTCTAAGAAAACGTTTCATTCTTAGTTGAAGTCTGCATGGATGCTTTTCATTTACCGCAAATGAACTATGATACAACAATATAATGGTAAATCTTTAATATTGCAATTAATTACCGATACGTAGACAGTTGATTGAAGTAGTGCACTAGAGAGCTTTACTTGATAAATTTTATGACAGATGAAACAAAATCGAGTATAATATATAAAATACAATATCTCATATCACAAACGGGTAACAATCTTGCTAAATCACTTATTAATAACAAAATGTTTTTTTTTCTTTTTAAAAATTTTATTTTGTTATTTTAAATTTTAAACGTGCAATTTGGAGAACAATATGATCAGAATGCAATTTTTGATTTAGTTTGTAGTAATCATTATAATTTATTATGATTTATTTTTAAAAATTTAATGGAAAATCGATGTTTCAAATTTATTTGAAATGAAACAAAAAAAAAAAAATCATTCATTTTTATACATGAAAATGATATGCTACCTTAATCATTTCTTGA